TGAGTGTGTGTGTGTGCGTAAGTGAGAGTGTGTGTTTGCTGTCGGCTTGTTTTCTGCCCTCGTTGATGAACAGATGAGGTTGTCCTGGCAACGTGATGAGACGCAGATATGCAAATGAGGCTGGAGGGTGAGCTTGCACGCACACACACTGCGGTATGAGGAGAGCTCATTTTACACACACATCTTGCTGAGACTGCAGCACTAGACCACACACACACACACACACACACACACACAGGTCCATAAACACACAAATGCAAAACGTTATAATTAAATCAATTTTCTTTTATCTTGAACATTTCATATGATGCTAACAGAAGCTATATTCTGCATAAAAAACAGGATAATGGATAATCATGTCCCCTTCATTGTCAGCCATGTTTGGATGCTCCACTTCCTCCTTTTCCTCTTTCATTCACTTCTCAATCCTGAAACTCTCCGCACCCCTCTTTTAACTCACCGGTTGGCCTGACCCGGGGCTGGAGCAGTAGATGGTGTACTTGCGGATGATTCCATTTGGCTTGTGAGGGGGTAACCAGGACACCACAACACTGCTGGCAGAGGAGGGCACAGCTTTGATGCCAGCTGGGGGTCCAGGGTCTGAATCATAAAAGTGAAAAAAGAGAGAATTGGAGGGCAGAGTAAAACATGAACCAGTTATATTAGTCTATATGTACTGTAAACGTTTTTTTTTCACGTTTTCAAGACAAAACTAGTTAAAAAAACAATTAATTGAGAACAGAATGAGAAAAGTGCACCTGTACCCAACTGAGATTGGATGTGCACACTATAAGCCTTCTTCATGTATCATATTGTCATATGGACAACTCACTGTACAGTATTAATTGACCAGCGACTTGTTTGCATAAAAAAACATCTAGTTTAAATAGAGACTGCCACTAACTCTTGTTAAAAATATAATCTGATTGCTAACTTGTAGTCATGGCCATTCTGTTTTAATATCGGGCTAATGAAGATAAGGAAACTCCAGGAAAGTTGAGAGAGTTGAATGTTAACTTAAGTGTTGCATGGTGTACTGCAGCTAATACTCTATCAGGGATTCGTGGATTATTTTGATGTATTTGTTCTTATCAGGTGTAATGAAAACATGCAGTCTTTGGTTCTTGGTGTAACATTGATGATAACACCTAGATGCTTAGAACATCCTGAGAAAATTAGAAATCATGCTGTAATTTAAAGTAAACATACTGCGATAAACATTAAATCCAAAAATGAACACATATGTCTTTATATAAACACATACACATTTTTAAAGGGACTAAATGCTGGGGTGAGGGGGTCTCTTGGGAATAGCATGAAAAAGAACTGAATAATGAATCTCTGTCTTCTTCACTCTTATGCTTACTGTCTTTGTGTCTAAGAGGCAAAGGCAGAGAAAGGCAGGCTGAGAATTGTCTGTTTGCACAATTTCACTGCAAACACTTTTCCATATGCTACAGACAGAACTGAGGGCAAAGGGAAAGCAGAGACCGAGAGAGACAGAGAATGTTCAACGTATGTGAAGAGGTTGCCCCTGGACACAGTGTCAACCCGCATCAGGGAAAAAAAAAAGACACTTAGCTTGCCCCTGATAAACACACACACTCACACACATACAAACTCAAAGACTAACACAACACACATATTTGAAGAGCTATCGCAGCGAGGCCGGCTCATAAAATGGAGATATAGTGAGGAAGAGAGAATAAAGGCCTTTTCTGAAATGACACTTCTTAGAACCCCCCCTTTCTTTCTCTCTATCGCTCTCTTTCTCTCTCTTCTGCTCTCTCAATTTCTCCATCTCCAGACGCCTGCCTCCTCCTCTGCCTGGCCCCAGGGAGGGAGAGGAGAGGCGGATACGGATGTAATCCACAGCCCGCCAGTGTAAGCACAAAATTAATTCTCTTTAAGCCACAAAGAATTAATCCCTCTCCTTGTGCTGGGTGCTGAGCTAGACTTGCACACAAACAATAGTGCCAGTACACACACACACACACACACACACTTACGCACACATCAATGCTAAGACATTGTACACATGCAAACACACACTTAACCCCCGCCAACACTTCCGCATATTCACATGCACAGACCCACACCCTTAGGCTTCTTATCCACACACACTTTTTGGCTTCTTAATTCTCATTAGCACTGGTAATGGCACATCAGAGCACAAAGAGGTTTTAATCAGCAACCTCAGCCTTACAAAGACCCTCTCTACCCCCCCTGGCTCTCTGCTTCCCACACTGCAGCCTAAACCAAGAACAAAAACCCTTAGACCTGCCCCATAGGTGTGGTCGAAGCAAATGACATATTATTGTAGGTCAGGTTATCTGTGGGGAAAGATTTACTAAAATGTGGACTCACAGTCTTCACGGGTTTGGATATACAGGACGTTGCTACGGACCCCGTCTCCAGCCTGGGTATAGGCAAGCACCTGGATGCTGTAGTTGGTGAACTTCTCCAAGCCTCTGAGCTCCACCTGCTCCTTAGTGGTTGTGATGTTTTGCATTTCACCCCATTCTGAGAAACGAAAGGGCGTATGGAGATGTTCAGACCAAGGACAGAGATGTTACTGGTCATAGAAGTAAGATGACAACTCACCTCCATCCGGAAAGACAGCCCAGAACACAACACGATATCCCTTCAATACGCCATGCAGTGTCATCCTGGGAGGTTCAGCCCATGTGATGACTGCTTCATCTGATGTTACAGAAATCGCTCGCACATTCTGAGGAGGCTGGCTGGGCACTGAAGACAAACAGAGAGAGAGATGATAAAAGGTATTATAAGTAACCATTCAGCTTCAGTTATCTAACCTTTTGTATTGAGTAGTTTAATTCAATAGAAAAGATCTGTTCATTGAAGGTTAAAAAACACAGCTCACAACCCATTTGAGGACTGCGGTAAATACACAGATAAACTGGAAAAAATCTAGGAATTTTTTAATCCTTTCTAATTGTTTTCCTCAACCCCTTAAGTAGCTTTAATGTTTGAAAATGATCTTGTTCCACAGTGTGACAATATCACGAATATATTCCATATCAGCTTGTTCCAGCTCTTCGCTGAAGCTATATGATGAGTGAAATATTAAAAACCTAATATTGTAGATGTTTTTTCCAGATGTCCAAGTCGTATTTAGTATCTTGACATTTTGGCCATTTTAATCTACCCTTTAAGTAGCTTTAAGGTTGGAAAAATCACCCTCACTGCCTGGCTATCATATATTCTGTGTGAGCTTGTTCCAAATCTTCATTGAAGCCATTCCAACAAATATATGTATTCAACATTATTTCCTACACATTTCGGCAAAATTTAAGCTGACATATTTGGTATCTATGAATATTTTCTGTGGGTTTGAACAAAATTTAGCTGCACAGCATGCATTTGTAACAGTCCATTGGATGATCGGTCAATAATAAATCATTTTTTATTCTTTTTACGTTAAAGCAAAAGCTGCTGTCTCAAAATTAGGACTGCTATGGCTAGCCGATAAAAAAATAAATAAACCCTCTCTGAAACCCTAAAAGGCATTTCCATATCAAACCTGAAGTGAGTAAACAGGCTAGTGATAGATAAAAAGCTCATGACATGCGTGCAGCCTGATGTATAGGACCATCTCTACAACCATCTCTCTTTTTCTCTGTACAAGCCTCCTTCTGTCCCCGCCAGGCCAGGTGTCTCTTCTATTGGCTACCGCTGACCATTAGTCTTTCAGCCTTTGAACAACGCACCCTGTTGATGATGAACAGAAGTCAACTTGTGAGAGAAGGAGGGGCAGGAAGAGAGGAAGAGAACCAACTGAAAGACAGAGAGCAATGAAAGAGAGAGATTGGGCCAAGTCCACCAGGGAATTTCTCTGCAGCTGGTGAAGAGAGAGGAGGTGGGGAGGAGGACGGAGGAAGGGAGGGAGAGGAGAAAGGAGGATTAGAAAACTGAAATAGGGTTTTGCATGAATAAACCTTTAGGCTCCAAGTCTAAATGATTAGAAGGCAAGAAAATATAGTCCGGTTCCTCCCTCCAGATTCACACCTTTCCGAGAAGAGAAATAAGGATTGACAAAAAAAAGCAGAGGACAAAAAGGTGAGGTGGCTCAAGTGCATTTAAATTGTCAGAATTAGGGCTTATACAGAGTTAAACAGATGGAGGAATGCAGATAAGTGAGGAGTAAAGAAAAAAGCATAATAAATCAGTGCTAAGGTTGTTGATGTATAAAATAACCTTACATAAATAAGTGCATAAGTTTGGAGAAACAAAAGATGGGGAACACAAGAACATAATGAAAGGCAGGTTTGGACTGGGGCTGCAGGGAGGAGGAGATGGAGGGTGAGGGGCAGAGGAAGAAGGGAGGAAGGGAGGAAGAGAGTTAAAAGCAAGGGGAGCAAGGGAAGGGCAGAAAAAGATGAAAAGAAGGAGCAGAGAGACAATGCGCTCAGCTGTGGATAATTACAGCAGGAAGCTAGCAGAGGGAACGAGAGAGAGAGACAGACAGAGAGACAAGCTAATTATAATTATTTTTAGTATGCTTGTTGTTATCACTATTATCATAATGGCCATCAATATCACTGTCGCCACGGTGACAGCCACAGGGAAGAACTGGAGGGCTCTGTCTGCTCTGGACCAATGGGGCTCAGCCAACTGTTCACTGGGTGGACAAGTATGTATGTGACGTGTGTGTGTGTGTGTGTGTGTGTGTGTGTGTGTGTTTGTATGCGGATGACGTATGATAGAGATTGATAAAGATGCATTTAAAAAATTGTCTGTTTGCATGTTTGTTAAACTCAACAACTTTAAAGAATAAAGGTGCAGGAAGGAAGAATATTAAATATTTTGAAGTTTTCCACAGAGTAAAAATAAAAAATTGAGTTTTTTGCGTTTAAATATGTAATTATCAGTGTTTTTATGTTAACATCTGTCAGCTAAATTTGGATTTATTCTGCTCCCTAGTAGCCAAATGTCAATGCAGCTTAAGAAAGAAATGAATAAAAGAAGAAGTTTCATTGCTGAGTAAATTATAGCCTTTGGAGGTTGGATCCACAAACTAAATTAAGTCCAGTTGTCCATTGTCCTACTGATTTACTGCATTACACCAGCCCTTTCCTTCTCTCCCACATACTTTCTGAGGAACTATTGGATGCTTGTGATCACTTATGCTTAAAAAATATTCACATTTCCTTTCAGCAAGGTAAAATATGCATCTAGAAAGGGATTCTTTTGAATACTTCCACCAAGAAGTATTTGGCCCCCTTTTGTTTGTCTTTTAGTTTAACAAGATATTTCAAAAGTCCCCTGAAGATTTGGTAGAAGGTAGTTCTGTATCAATTCATTTATTTATTTTAAGTTTCTTAAGATTACAAGACTTGCTATTTTGCTACTATTGCACTTACCTGAATGACAATAATAACCCATAATTGTCTCTAATTATATGCATTTTTTACACAGCCGCATGTAGCCAAAACATTTCTAAATATTGTGTAGGATTCTGAGGCCTTTTGTGAAGTGCTTTTGTAGTTCATTCAGTCATTTGTTCATTCATTCATCTATTCACTCACTGAACATTTGGCCCATCTACCCTCCATCAGCCATCAGGATGCATGACAGTATCTCCACATGTCTCACTGTACAGGGATCACTCAATCCTCTCTGCAGTGCAGCTGAATGTGTAATGTGTCTATGAAATCATGTGTGTCCTTGGTATTTGTAAAAAGCATTTGGATTCCAGCAGCCAACACTCATTTGTGTTGAAAGAATAGAGAGAATGCAGTAATTTTGGGTTACAAAGCATGGCATGATTTGACACAGATCAGACAGCGAGAAAGCAAAAAGAACAATAGCAACAGAAAAAAGCAGTAACTGTGAATCAAAGCCAAAGCATACAGAGGATTATATTTCATACAGTACGTCTGACAGTTTACTCGTTCACTGTATAGAATCAGCACCATGCTGTAACCTATTTACCTTACTGCTAACCCCGTTCGTACATGCCATGTTGTATGCATGTTGTTTATTGTGATCCTCACCATCTTCCAGTGTCGTAGCATTGATCTCTGAGCTAGAGGGCCCTGTGCCAGCTCTGTTGAAGGCCTGGACAACCACACCATACTGGGCAAACTTCTTCAGGTTGTCCAGAGTGTAGACCTCACTATCTCCGGTGGCCTTCATCTCCACAATGCTGTACTGGCCATTACTGCCTGGGCCATTCTCTCGGTAACCGATCTGATAACCCCGGATTACTCCGTTTTGCAGCTCCTTCCTGGGAGCCTGGAGAACAGAAAACCAAAAGACAGTGCAGACATTAGAATCACCAAGGAAGTACATAGCTGTTCAGAAGGCAGCCAATTCTTATACTTTACCTTCCAGGTGACCCTAATACTCTGAGAGGTCACCGGCTGCAGGATCACCTCCATGGGAGGACCATCAGGCTCTGCAGAGAGAAAGAGACAGAGGGGGTGAAACAGAGGCGTTTTGCTACTGTACAAAAACATTGTGTGGCTTTCATGTTTCCAGTACGTGTCATGGTTCTGAAATATACTGGAGTACAACATTCAATGTTTTTTTTTTGTCAGTTTTATTGAGATAGACTTTCAATACAAAATGCTTATTCAAGGACAGGTGATGGTGTCAACACAGAGGCACTGGCTTAGATCTAATACAACCAGAAAAAGTGAAATATTTGCTCACATTCGTATTAGTCAAAACTAATTCTGCCAAGATACTTACGTGCTTCCTCTGTGCTGATGGTGAGTTCCTTACTGGCCTCGCTCTTGCCTATTGAGTTGTAGGAGTACATGCGGATGCTGTAGACGGAGGCAGGGTGAAGGTCCACTATGTTGGCCTGATTGTTGGTGGGAGAGATGTTTCGAGTGGCATGTTTCAGCTCCCAGGAATCTGACAAAAGAGAAGATAACAATAGTATTGTCATGTTGATGTGATGATTTTAAGTTTGCCAACATTTTCTCACTTCGAATACTATTTTGGTATATTTGGAGATTTTTATTTTCATCATCCTGTTCAATACTAAGTCTTATTTTTTCCCCTATGATCTTCCTAAAAAATAAGATTCTTAAAAAATTTAGCATTTGTATTTTGACACTCAGAGTCAATTTAAGACTTTTTGTCTGTCTATTTGTTTGCAATAATGAAAAGAAGCAAGCTTACTCCACTGTCAGATTCACTTTTCTATCTTAATTTCCTGTAAATTAAATTGAATATACTCTTTTTACTTACCTGTCTTGTTCTTATACTCAATGTCGTAGGAGGTAATGACGCTGTTTCCATCAAATCTCTGTGTCCACCGGAGATTCATACTGCGATCTTTTACTTCTCGAACCTCCAACTCTGGAGGGTCTGGGGGTTCTGAAGATTAAAAGAGGGAAAAGGGAGGCAAGGAGGAGATGGTATCACCGAAAGAGAGACAATTTTGTGTGGAAAGAGGGCAGAGTAGGTTTGTGTAGCTTGTATCAATATCAAGAGGAGATTGTTAAAAACATTAATACAGGAATGGTTACCTTGCACAGTGAGTTGGATAAGACCTCGTCCTTCTCCGTAAGAGTTGATGGCATGACAGGAGAAGAAGACTGAATCCTCACGTTCTGCTGGCTTTAGCTGTAGGGAGAAAGATAGAAAGAGAAATATAAGAGATAGACAACTATCATTGTGTTGGCAAATTGCATAAAGCACAACTTTGTGATGGAGAAGTGGCCCAGTGAGAGTTTTTCCTCCACCATCCCTGTTCGGTATTTAGGTGACTCACGGTGTACTGCATTGGGAGGTAAGGTACGATAGGGAAAGTGTCACCCGTCTACTGGTACACTACATTTTTGGTGTCAAGAATCACTTTTTTTGCACCATTTGACACCTGCTTGAATAATAGCATCAAAATGCACTATTCACTTAAGCTGGTGAAGGTGTGTCCTCTTTGCAGTCATCTACTTTAAATACATACATTCTTTAACCAGTATATACATATAAATGCACACATATTTTCTGATTATGGTATTAATATGAGCAGTAAAGCTCGTATTATAACTGTTTAAGTCCCACCAGGAATTTCCATCCATGACTGCTTACGTACACTCTTTGGATGACTTCCCTTTCAGATGATTAACTACTTATATGGTTATATGAAGGCGATACGTATTTGTTAAATCTGGGCACATTGTCAAACCACAGTTGCGGAAGCCAAAATCTTATGCAAAATATACACACAATCTTCTGTGGTCTCGTGCATAAATCAAACGAGTTGTGTGTGAGGTGATGACATCCTGTGAACTCACTGGATAAAGTTTATTCAGTTCCTCTTTAAAGCACCAAGCTCCTTTTACCACTTGTTACCAGTGACCATCCTCATCGTTCTTATGATTCTGGCAAATTAATGCATCACTTGAAGCAACTCACTTTTAAACGCTGCCATGACAAACATGGCATGGTAGAGCAGAATCATGACATGGTGACTTTCGATATGTCCAGAAATTGTTCTTGACAACATACAGTATGTAAGGTTGCTCTACATTCACACTTGGATGCAAGTCTGAATGTCTCAGAGATATTAGTTTCCTCTCAGGAGAATCTGGTCAGGACTCCAATACTCCAAGGGTATGTTGTGGTGGGGAGGCACATACTAGCCTTTAACAACCTCTAGCACACTGACTGATATGATAATGGACTCTAATCTCACTCTTATTCAACACATCTCCATAATACAGCACACAGCTCACTAGAATGGGCTCTACACTTCACACCTTGGCGCATAAAAACAGAGCTCAAACAGACAAAAGAGAAAAGAGAAAAAGAGAAAATTGAATCTATTTGTCAGCTGAGTAAGGGTCATAAACACATTGCTGTCTTAGTGTGTTTTAAGTGTTTCTTACCTTGAGTGTAGACAACACCTCGTCCGTCTTCTCATTGGGACTTGTGGTAATGGAGTACCGGGGGTTGCGGTCAGGGTCGATGACCGTGTCGCCTCTCTCCCAGCGGATGATGATGGGCCATTCTCCCCTGGCTGTGCAGTTCAGCTCCTTCACGTGACCCTTCTTAGCCATGGTAGTGTTGGGGTGACTGGTGATCATCGCTGGGACTGTAAGGAGAAGGGAAATGGAGTGTGAGATGAAGAGAAGGTGAGGACAAATGAGGGGGGGATGGTGACAGTAAACAGATTGATAAAAGGGATATTAGAAGGCAGAGGCAGATAAAAGAGGGAGAGGGGGAAGGAAAAGAAGGAGTAAGTGGATAATAAGCAGGGTTTAAGTGGGAAGGGAGAAAGAAAGGAAAGAGGAGAGAGGAGAAGGGCAGGACAGCTGGCAGTTAAAAAGGTGGAGTTCAGAGTAGCCAAGTTCCATTGCAGTAGAGTAATGAAGAGCTATGGTCAATGAGGTAAAGTCAATAAACCTCTTCTCTCATTCTCCAATAGTTAACATTGGGGTCTAGGTGAATGAAGAGGCGAAAACGATACACTCTACCTTTCGTTTACACATTATACACAAAACCACT